GGCTAAGTCATTAAATCCTGACGCGCATACATAGCCAGAGCAGGACTAATCTACGTCCATTAAACCTAATGGGGAAAGAGCGGCGTGCATTCCGCGGGCTGCCTGTCACGCGGTTCGACGAATCGCTGTCATCCGCATGTTACCAAAGGAACGAAGCTGTGCGCGTGGGCCCCGCGACCCCTTCGCCTAACGAAAAACGAGTGTCGCTGACTTTTCCGCCGGGCACATCCCCCTCAACCCTTACCACCCAAGCAAAAACCGTCCCCCGGGACCGAAACCGGGTCATTAAACGGCCGTACATCATCCACGCGAGACGTATCTCACGGGCGGGGCACCGAAGGGTGCGGAATATCAGCCCCGCCTCGTCTCATTAGCCGCGAAATATTTCGAGTCCTATCGGCGACGAGTAGTGGATGCTGCTGTTAAGGCTCTAATTTCTAAATGATAACATTAAACCGACCTTTACATCCTATTTACGAGCGTCCTTCGGCTGTGAAGCCTTAACTCTCCTTATAAGATCATCGGAGGAAGATATACGGTTTTATTAAAGTATCTAAAAATTTAACTAACTACAAATTTGAAAATAATTTTGTTTGGACATCAAAATAATTATTTGCATTATTAGATATCAGAAGAGCAATGGTAACCCAATCCTTTGAGTTAAATAACATTTTGCTATTTTTAAATTCTATGTATGTTAAAATCAATCTTTTCTATGATTAGTTCTGAAGTAAGCAATATCCATATTAACATATGTGTGTATTTAGTAAATAATAAATTTAAGTCAAATTTAATATATTTTCTTGAGTTAAATCGTTTAACTGCATTATTTTAATTAAATTAATGACCTACTGAGTAGGAGCAGTAACACACACACACACACACACACGACCTAAAAATAATTAAAAATAATTCAAATTGGGTATAGATTAACATTATGAATTTAACAGTGCAAAACGCTTAAATTAATGCTAGAATATTAAAATTTTTGCAATATTATCATTAATGTTTGAGCGTTTTATATAATTATTTTGATGGTTTATCAAAATTATTTTATATCTGTATTTAAATTTTTTAATACTTCAGCAAAGTCGTTCTTTCCATATGAAATTATGAATGTATCTTTTTATACATATGCAATTTCGTCGCTGACGAATTTAAGTACACTTAGGAAGCTACCTTTTCGAGAAGCACGTATTGTATTCGATTTCACAACGGATAAATATAATTCTACGAAGAATCTTCTTTTCTCCATTAATAACCGCGCTTGTTCATATCTGATGACTTCGCGTAAGTTACATTAGAATTCTCGTGCCGTGCCTCGGGATACTCGTTCGAGACTCGAAGCGCGTGCCGACACATCGGTGTCGTTGTACGGACACGCTTAATAATACTACGTATCGGCGATCGGTCTCAACTGATATGCCGAACATAGAGCGCGCGAGACGACGTAAGCGGGCCTGCCCGTACGACAGAGGGGCCTGTTCGTCGCTTTCTTATTGTCTACCCTATATGTCTCCGGAAGCAGGGCCAATCCGCCGGAAAGACGAGACCGTTAACCCGCACGATCCCGAGACCTTGCGGCCGTGCATGCCAACGCTGCATTATTGGCTTTTTGTATGCTCATGTTAAGTGGTCGTCGCGCACGCTCGCGCATAATGCGCCAGATCCTTCGCACCTCTCGGTTCCGATTTAAGGGATAGTTCCGGGCTAGGCGTTACCGAAACGTTTCGCATGATACCTTTGCCATTACTGACGAGGATGATAATAATAATCATTTCACAATGGAATTAGTTGATGAGTTGATAATATAACAATCACATAGTTAATAAAAATAATGTTGTGGTTAGTGTAGTTTTCCGCGTTACAAGAAATAATATAAAAAATAATTTATAATATAAGTAATAATAATTTATAATATAAATAATTAACAATGCAGAGAGTAATTTATTTATATATAAAAGATATACGCGTTTTATTTAATATAACTTAATGCAATATTCCTTGCGCTTTAGACGATGTAAGATATGAAGAGAAAGTTTATATATGCTAAGAAACTGTCTACAAGAAAATTATGGGTATATAATATGTGATACAAACTGGTAATGCACGCAGAAGAATGATGAATAAACAAAAGTGAGCACTTTAAAGTCAGTTCTTTTTCGCTTCCGGTTGTTGCAAAAACAAGAGCTAGAGGGAATGGAAGTAACACATTCCTTTTAATGATAAGATATAATAGGCGTTCACAATAACGAGCGCCTCAGGCATCGCACACTGCTTCTTAAATATCAATGTAAGCATTTCTTATTAGCTTCACCTATATGGCACGATGTTAAAAGATATCGCGTGCATACAATTCGATAAAGGGCTGAATATAATGCGTTTTATATGCGAGTCAAAGAAAGCTTTCACGTTTGTCGTGCAAATCCGTTCGTCTCGAAATGCGAAGGAAACGCGAGAACGGGGCGTGTCGCCGACGCGCACGAAACTTTCTGAGTAGACGCGCATTAGCTAAATAAGCATAATTTCACGAGAAAGGAAAAAGAATCGGTTATTCTTTCGACAATCCTCCGCAAACCTGATAAGGATGTTTTCCAGCAAAAAACACAGATGATACAGTATAACGCAGTGAATTATTATATCCTTATTGTTTGCCAATATTATACAAAGATGAAATAATCACTGATATCACTGTGTTACATTGTGTCTCTTGCTGGAAAACACCAAAGAAATATATATAAAAGTTTACTTCGAAAGGAAGATATTTCCGATTGCCATTTAATGTCTTTGTCCAGAGCTGACGCAGGTGCAGCTACGACCTGCTTCGCGGCTGTTCGCCTGTATCGCCTGTTGACAATCCATAGAACTCGCGCGTGTAGTTCCGGTGCGGCGCGGGGCCCACGGATCCGGCGCGGTGGGTCCCCGTAAAGGAGGACCTCGGTCGCTCGGCTACGACTAGAACGAATGGATGCTAAGCAAGCTGTATTACCCGATCACTTCCTTGCATACGAAGCAGCCATCGCCGGAAGTGCGTCACGCATGGTAGTATAGATTCCACGCGTTGACCGCTGTTGTCAACCAGGTTCGCTGCTTCGCCTTTAGAGGAGCGTCTCTCCCGCTCCTCGCGTCATGGCGAAATACGTGACCGTCGATTATACATACATGTATATATTTTTTTCTCCCGAGAAGCAGTGGGATATCGAACGCCTCGATCAACGTCATTGACGTAAAAGAACGCTGGGAATTGAATCTTTATCAGTTTGTTGACACGCGTCAGCGGTATAGATATTATGTAGAATAAGATTAATACTGTGACCGTAACACTTAGAATAGAATTTCATAGACTGCACCAGTGTTGTACGCAACTGAAACGTTTTCTCCTTAAAATATAGGCTGTTTTCCTTTTAAAAGACACAAATCGACCAAATTAACACACTCGAATACAGTTAAATGGCACGCCATATGCATAGTGCGAATTTTTAATACTAGTCTTATAAAATTTACAATTAAAATTTCTCAAACGATGTGTTTTCCAATGTATGAGTATTACAAATGATAGGGGCTGGTTTGTGGGTACGTTCTAATATTGTTCAATCGACCAAAATTATATTTAGATATAAATATACTCCGACTTTCCTCTTGGGCAGTGTCGAAAAATAACGATTGAGTTTAAGCAAAATTATAAATGGTAAGCAATGTGTGTCGATTTATATCAAAAGTGTCAATTGCAAAAGGAAAACAGCTAAAGTCTCGTTAGCGATCGAGGCCCATACTCGCTATGATTGAAAATGAGCCAACTGTGATATTCATACAGAGATATTTCAAGCGTGGACCGGCTAATGTCCAATAGTAATTTATATTATCGGTCATATTTACATAGATACCAGCCAGTCATCGTGTGCACGCGCAATAACTCTTCGTTTTTGCATGAAATGCGCGCCGTTATAACAGTCGAAGTTTTTCGAGTCGGCCACAATCTCGTAAACTGGCGAGATCCCGGAAACGCGACTAAGCGGGCTAATTATCGATATTTCGGATGACCTCGCGTCAATCGTTGGCAACATCGCGTCGCGTTGCGTCACATCGCTTGCGCCGCTCCGAATATTTTCTCCAAATTTTTAATCTCCATTATCCCGGTGATCCGACTTGAAATTATCAAACAAGACCTTTCGCCGACCGCGTCAGACACGCCGCGACCGATTCCAAGTGTGCGAGAAAAAAAGCGTCGTGGCGACAGCCCCGGGTCACTTGAGCGCTAATTTATTGGAATGTTTATGTGTTTCTCTCGCCGTCTTATCTCCGTCCGTACACCAGCGTATCGACCGTAGAGAGGAAAAGGAGCACATACAACCTGATCTTTCTCTCTTTTTCTTCCTTTCTTGCGACGGAAAAGGCATTAAAGTGCGTCGACGTTGAAAATACATAATGCATCGCAGAGATTACGGGGTAATTAAGATTCGTCTGCGTCTTATAGATTTGCAAAAGAACACTATGCTCTTGCTATAGAGCAGGAATATCCTTTCTATATAACACTGTTTCGGTGGCATTAAAATAATTATCACGTCCGCTGTAAGGTATCAACACCAAGAAGATAAATAAAATTATTGCGTGGCATTTCCTATCACTCGCGAGGATCTGTCGGGAAATTTTTACCTTTCTATGAAAGCTGATATGGTACGTGACGTTTATTTCGCTCGGATTGCCTTTGCTCTTTATGCGAATACATTTTTCTGATACCAGCTGGTTAGACAGACATTATCTAAGTCAACAAGTTAATTTTTTAGCAATTGTACACTTCCCTTTAAAACGATAATCAGAAATCGTCTAGCTTGTTTGTATCCAGATGCAGTTTGTTATCTAATTAAACGGCTGTTGTTTTGGCCCGTGCTTGAATCTGTATACATAATAGATATCGGACATACTCGAAATCAACATACGCTAAATGTATAATGCATGTAATGCGTGTAGTGAATAATTCGGAAAATATTTACAAGACTTACCCATTGAAGGGGTAATTCGCAAAAGCAGCATCGTAAGGGTGATACATCGAGGGATAAGGCCACGCTGCTGCGGCTCCAGCGCCCAGATTTTCTTTAAGATCTAGACCGGCGGCCTGTAACAACGTACAAACAAATAAATATCTTAATATTTCAATTCTGCAATTGCTGAGCATGCAATTATTATGATTTATATATATATATATATAAAGTAACAAAGGTGACGAGGTGAAAGATAATAATCGGCAAATTAACGACAGTGATAAGAGTAATTATTGTACGAGATTGTTTTACGTCGAAAAAGTTTGAACAGTTTTATGCCACATAATTTTTTTCGAGGCTATTAATAAATATATACGTATATATGTACCTATATATACGAATCATATTAGCGGTTGCAACAATAATTTTCACAAGTTGTTTCAAGTGGCCATGCTGATTTGCACACGCCATGGATTTATTTCGATTATTACCGCGCATATGTATATGCATTCTCCGAACCCGGTCACTCGTTATCACAACGTTTAAATGAAATCGCGCAGAATGCGGTTAATTGCTCGAAAGAGATCCATTTTTCGGAACGAACGTCGCAATTAGTTCGTATCGGTCGCACGGCTCGGTCCGATCTCTGATGCATCAATGATGATGAAAGAATAGCTGGCAAAGCGCTGATAATAATAATTAGGTTCGATGTGTGTGGCTCTCTTGTTTGCTTCTCTAACCCATGACCTCGCTTATACGACAGGATGGTCACTATTAAATTTCTGCTGTATTTTATTTAGCGGGTATAATAGGCTCATGAAAGGTTTTTTCTTTCTTTCTCTCTCTTTCTCTCATATTCTTTGCTAGGGTTATAAAACGTCCTCTCCAAAGAAAATTTTACTCAATATAATATTGAGTAAAATTGTTTTGAAATGAAAGTATTCTTTATTTGTTTCAATTTTTTTCTTTTTTTTTTAAAGAATTTCTTTTTCCAACCTGTTGTATTTATACATTACTTTTTATAGCACTTTATAATTAAGCAAAAGTTTTACTTGAATACATTTGTTCTTTTTGTATTTTTTTTTTAAGAGTGCCTTTAAGCCCATATCAGACTATGGGTTGACGATTACGATTAACGGTTTTGTTTCAGCCAATCACGATGTAGCGAGTCCATCATGATTGGCTGAAATAGAACGGGGCAACCATCAATCAAAATCGTCAACCTGTAATCTAATACGGGCTTTAAAGGGAATATATTCCCAAGCTGCTAACTAAATAAATGACGATATATATATCTCTCTCTCTCTCGCATGACATACATACATATCATACATAATAAGATCTTAACTTGATATGTTATTAATCCTCTGTCTCCAATCTGAGTTCTTTAAGCGAAATTTAATTCAAATTTCTGGACATAAGGAAGGGCGAAGTCTCATTCCTCCTCTTAACGAATTATTTAGTAATGTAACAGAGATGTTGAAAAGTAACCCTGAATTTTTGTAAAACCCTGGAACAATAAAAAAAACCTTAAGCTAACCGGAAAAAATCCAGATTGCAGATGAACGAAGTAAAAATATGAATGCAGTCGGAGGATTAATATCAGATATCCGAAATACACACAAAATGACAGACGAAATAAACAGACGAAATGTTTTTACACGATAACGTTCGGGGCTTTGCAAAAAGCAATGTTTGCGACAGGAATTACGCTATATAAATCTACGAAACCGCAGCCAGATAATCACCATGAACAGCGTAAATGCGAATGCCGCAGAGCGGAGGTTAGAAGATAAACGTTTTCTTTAAAAAGCTATACTTAATGACTTTATACAAGTAATATCACGAACGTCGCATAGTCTGTGCGCGATCTGTACAATCTGCTGCCTCGTTATGAACAGGCTATGGCTATATACTCGCACCCCTTAAGCTCGATCATAAAGAGCGACGATAACAACTCGGTCTTAGTGACAACGACTCGGCAATACGCGACAGTGTCCTACTGTTACGGTAGAATGGATTCATAAATTTTCGCTTCGTCGCTATTTCTTCATACACGCTTCGCGTGTGGTCCGATAACGCTTGTCCAACGCATGGACGAACACACAAAAGCACTTCTTCTAGATTACACATTAATAACTCTTCCCCAGTCACCTAATCGTGATGACATCGCGAATCGCTGCACGAGAAGGGATTAACGGTGTGAAACGAAAAGCGCTTTTTTTTCTGCACGCGTAAACGAAAGGCGCGAATTGCGTCACATCGGAAAAATTGGATCGCTAAACTTTGTTAATCCGCTAAATAAACACGTCATTTCGAACATTCAACGAAGCCATGAATATAAAAATTCGTATCAGAATTTAATCTGCACTCAGTGATACAGAAATATAGAAGTTCGTTCATACTGGAATTTAATCCACGTGATAAAAATTTTACGGCAGAATATAACGTCGCTACTATTACTGGCTCGCACGAAGCATTTATCGATATTGGAGAGCTATGTTGAACGTTTCGACGATCTGAGATCAACGGTAGTGCGCAGGAACGCGGAAGTACTGCGAGGAGAAACCTCGCATCCCGAGCTTCCAATGAATTCGACTACTTTCAGATATTAACCTTTTAGTACTTTACGTCAAGTTCGAGAAGCATTTGAAAGAATGACAAGTAGAATCCGAAAACATTGATAAAATTGTTGTAATTTCTACTCGGAGTATAAGGAATCAGGAGACGCGGTAGTGTCTCCGGCCATGTTCAAAAAAAAGTGAAAGGACATAAAGACATTACAAGTCTCTTATCCTGAGCCATTAAAGTCCATTCTTTGGGGGTACAGAACTACCAAAATATAAAAAATTTTAAATCAGACGTAACATATTCTGAAGGCAGCATCGCCATGAGTAATTTGAGCCAAAAAAAAAAATAAAATCGGTCAAGCCGTTCTGGATATAGGAGCAGTCAAAAAGTGATGACTTTCATGAAAAATGAAGTAACGTCTCCTTATTATTCTTATTATTCTTATTCTTCTTATTCTTCTCTGTCCGCAGTCTTCTTATACACAATATTTATAAAAATATTTGCAAGATATAAATGTATTAAAAAGCATTGTCATTTAATGGTTTATAATATCTTTAAATCACATTTCACACGATATCACATTTTGTTTTTAAGTACTTGTATAATAATTATATTTAAAACAATTATTCTTCTCTTATACACTATATTCAGCATATCGGTGAAATACATATTTATTTAGCTTCATCTTAAAATCTCTAAACGCGTTAACTCAACACTTTGTCCGACAGTGTGATATTAATTCTACAGTTACACACGCGTAAGCGAAATTAATTTATTACGTAGTTGCTTACAGGAAATAAATTAAATAATGGAAATTAGTGATTGTATAAATATCTCAGGCTCGTATCGCCTAGCATCTTCACATCTGGAATTTCCGCTTGAGTCTATTCATAGTATTATGCAGAACAAACAAGATGAGTTACATAAAATGTACTATATCATGAAATACATTTGCTTGTTTCGTCTCTAACAAAAGAAATAAACATAGTTAGCCATATGGAATACGAAATCCAGAATTTCCGGGTTATGTTATCATCGATAGAATCGTAAAATCCACGATATCCTTTGTTTCACGAATTGCTCCAGTCGTGCATCGATATTATCTCTCCCCCAGGCTTGTCGATACGCTACTTTCCTTACCGCGAGGAAATTCTGGAAAGTTTACACCATATCCCATTGCGACAAAATACTATTACAATCGATTCAAAGGCTAGTGTCGAGCTTATCGCACACGGCGCAGTTCAACCGTGTGAACGGTTATAAGTTATATATTTTAGTGGAAATAATGCATGCGAAATTTGCACAGAATGAAAAAAAAATTTTTTTTTCGTAGTCGTGGAAAGAAAAAACGCGAGCATAGAACTGTTGAATTTTGATTTCACGAACTTTCACTTCGGTCCTTTTCGTTTCATTGTACACTCAATAGGATCGACTCACCGTGGGCGTGTAGAAGGGTGCTTGCTCGGCGCCCAAGCTAGGAAAGTACGCAGCCATACCCTCGGACGCCGCCGCCGCGGCGGCGGCCGCGTATGGCGCGCTGTACATAGAGAGCGCGGCCGTGGGTAGGCCACCTAGACGCTGATAGCCACCCAGCAGTTCGTACTGGCAGGAGCAAACGGTCTGGCCTGTCAGTGGATCGGTGAAGATTGGCCGACCGGTATCGCAACACCTGGCTGCAGTAGGACCTCCGGCCGATGGTGGCGGATGACCCTGGGACGGGCTAACCGAGGTAGTGGGACTGCCAGGCGGTCTCACAATCGCGCTCGTCACTGCCATCCTCGCTTGCGACAGACCGGCTACGTCCAGAGGATGATTCGTCGTCGTACTGGCGGCTACACTGCTGACCAGGGACGAGCCGCCCGCGCTGAGGATCACACCGGTGACAGGCGAGGCCGAGGACGGCGCCAACGACGAGTTGACTGTCACAGGACACTGTAATCAACAAGATCGTACAGCTCCAATCAGTATCCAGTTAAAAATTGACTTAATTAATTAATTACATGCATTTTTTCCAAGTTAAATTCAAGTTAAATTCTTTGTGAGACCTATACCTGTTTCTATCAATGTACATTAACTTTAATCTCAGTTTAACTTACTCTGCATCTTTTTTTTATTCTTAAAACTAGAAAAATATGAAGAGTTAATTAAGATTAAAATTAAAGTACACACACATTGGTAGAAACGAGCGTTAGGCGCACATATCTCGTTAAAAATTAGATATATTGTCGCTACGAAATCTCAAAGTATCAACGACATGTTACGACGTGTTGCAGCTGGCGAATAGTACGAAGCGATCTCCGTTATGAAAAGGTGAACGCAACTGCATCAGGCTCCCCCCTTTTATTTCCACGACTAAACCGAAAATCTATGGGCTCTGAGCATAATGCCGGCGAGTCTCATTAATTCCATATCAAACACTACGGCTAAATAGATTAGCGGGTTGAGTGCCTTTCGCGCCCGGGAACCTAAACAAACCCCCGTGCAACACCCCTACCCCGTAGAGAGACGCTCCCCGCGATTGTCCCAGCCAGCCAGCCATCCATCCATCCATCCATCCATCCATTGCCTCGTTTCGGTGGCCCCAAACATATTGTCGAAACCCCCGTACGCATTGTGCTGGGGCGAAAAACCCATGCGCGATACGCATTATGGCGTCGAGAGAGAGTCGCGTTAATGCGTGTCCTCGATGCGTCGCCGATGTTTCGAGGGCCAACTGTCGCACATTGGCCAAACGCGTGTGCGTATGTACGGTAAATACCGTATTTCCACTATGTTTCGACGCGCGTTGCGGTTGACAACGCTAATATAAAGCTAATATAAAACAATTTTGCATTACTCATATAAAGCAGTTCTCCGGTTTCGGGTAAAAAAATGCGCTTTAGAGTACAATTTCTCTTGTATCGATGAATCGATTTAAATATGAAAATATCTGATTTAAAAATACGTTCAATATTCGCATCGCGTGTAAAGGCAAAGGAACTGGTCCTTCGCCAGATGCATAACCATACATTCGACCATTCTCTCCCAGAAATCGTAAGATTCCAGGGAGTTCGAGGGAAAAGCCGACGATGGCAAGAATGCGCTTCGGGACTCCGGATCGGGCAAAGGGTTAAACGACGAAGCGTGTTGGCGACCACTGGCCATAACTCAGTCCTAGTCCTCGAGAGAGGAAGCCAGCTGAGTTACTCGATGCGATCGCATCGAAGCTGCTTGCTGGTCGCAACCGTGCAAACCACAGCGGCAACTATATCACCTCTGTGCGAGGTGTCGGACAATGGTGCCTAACATAGTTTTTTTTACAAATGAAATCTTATTTTATCATATTTTTTTACAAAGTAACGAAAAATTGATGCAATATTTAAAAAATTTTATCATAGCAGAATTGAATTTTCCTCTATTCTTATTTTCTATTATTTTTCCTTCATTTAATTTTATTTATTTTTTCAACCATTTGTAATAATTATTAAACGGAAACCATAACATTATAATTTCCATAATATGTTACATATACGTATTTGTGTATATATAGGATGACAAGAAGTTTGATCATACAGTTCTCTATTTTTATCAAATCATTACTCAGATAGCACGTTATTTATCGTCATTTTGATATTAATATGACCACAAATAGCGTTAGCTTGCTAACCTGAGTAATAATGTATATTTATGAAAAACAACTCTGGAGTGTGTTAGTTACATCTTATCAAATATCAAAATGACTCTGCATCAAAAGATCTTTATTAGTTGATGAACCGAAAATACTTTATTGATTGCCCGAGAGAATTTATTTACCAAAAGATGCGCGGCCATCGTTGATGCGTTCCAAAAACGTTTCAAAATTTGTACCAAAGCTAAAGGTAGCTATTTATTGAATGTCAATTATTAGTTTTAGATATGATTAAAACTTCAGAGTTCGTTTTTCGTAAATATACTAATTTGATGAACACAAAACTTTGTGATCAAACTTTTTTGTTATTCTGTATAGATAAAGCATGCTTATAAAATTCTTTAATTTGTCAAAGATCTTATCATAAATTTTCAATGATTTATTAATATACATTAATAATCCAAGAGAGAATATTTATGAGTGCACACGCCTTGCAGAAAAACTTGACAGAATTGAAAAAGTATTATGTTAGGTTTAAGCACCACTGGCTTCGTCGCTGTCTCCTTTAAAGTAGCAAGGTGGCTTCGAAGCAGTATTACGTGGCATACAGCGTGCCAGGAGCGACCGACGAAAGCAATAATTATTCGTACGGCGTATACGTGTCGATATATCGACGCATTAGCTGTTCGTTCCCTCGTTTGTGCCACGAGCGCGCTAATTGCCATCACTGTGATTTCTCTCGTAGATGCCTTCCATTGAAGGGACACGTGCTAGAGAGTGAATTGCGATTTAACAATCATGTTACAATGCAGTAATGTCGATTTTTCCCTTACGTTTACTGAAATTTTGAAGTAAATTACATTCGTTATAATTGTGTGTCTCACATTGATTAATCGTTCTTAGGATTGAAACGCGGCCATCAAGTTCGAAAAATATTGCAGATTAAGTAGAAACCTGAGATTTCGCCCGATTTCGACTTTGCTCATGCTAGGTGTGTACGAAATTCTTTTTTTACGTTTGATATAAAATTTTTCGTGTCGTTTGGAATGACTTTTATCATTCGTTGCACGCCAGCTATTTATTAAAACTAGAATCAATCTGCATATCATTTGGATTTATATTTATGGATATTTTAGAAGCAAAAAGGCAGATATATATGTCAAACGTCAACTAGAAAAATAATCAAGTCGATTTTTCTGGAATATATTAATCTCCGGCACGCGAGTGGTGACATTTTCTTCGTATATTCCCTTTTCGCGACATTCGCCTAATTATACGTTACTTACACTCGATTCCGTGTAAAGTTTCGCGCGAACATCCGTTACTTGATACGTACTATAAAAACCGGTTGGCGATAAAGTCGAGGACGAGCGATCGTCGGGATGTACCTGCATTGCGAGTGAATGAGTCGAGCGAGAATTCGTCGTCGGAGAATATACGTGAATATTTGAACACTGCCGAAGGAGCATCGCACCGCTTAGTGTCGACCTGACATCTTCGAGGAGTTTGCGGAAAGTTACACCGGAATCTCTCGACTCGCACGCTGGTTGTCATTCAGGTACCCGGATACCTGAATTACGACGACCCATCGCTCACGCGTCGCGAAAAACCGATATCGCACGCATCGCGCCGCAAGTCGATGATCGATGGATCGTCGTCCGGGTCTGGGAAAAAAACGCATGTCCTCGGATTAAAACGACCGTAAACATCGAGTACCTGACGAGCAACTAAGAATCAGCACTCCGTACACACCGACAGCACCTGGCACACGCATCTTATGATCCGATTTGTATGCGCGATGCAACGAACAAATGTAGGAAACAAATAATAGCACGATCAGCAATGTTTCTCTCGGCAGCGGTAAAAAGCTTCGCGAAAACATTGCTGGAGGATACTAGGACTGGAATAACAAGCTGATATTTTCAAAAAAGTGTTGAGATATTTAAAGGCCTATATGAAAATATATAATCGAAATGGTAATCCTGGCTATACAGACACACACACACACACTCTGAGATTTCTGAAATCTCAGTGAAATTTTGAAACTTTATACGAAAAGAATGGTTTTGCTAAAATATTAAAAAATTTAATTAAATAGATTGACAATAATTTTATTAAACTATTAAAAAATAATTAATAAAACACTCAAATTAGTTGCTCGAACGTCAAAATTTTTTTACAGTATTACTCATCATGTTTAAGTTTCCTACATAATTATTTTGATGATCCAACAAAATTACTTTCAAGTCTATCTAAATTTTTAGATTCATCATCAAAATCGTTCTTTTCGTGTATTATTAGTAGAATTAATAAACTAAAAGTCACGTTTTCCAGTATTTATTATGATTTTAGACTATTTCTGAGCGAAGAATAGACATATTTTTTAGGTCACTTCTTCTTTTTCTTCTTCTAGTAACCATATATATATA